CTGGATTTAACCAGGCATTAAGATGAACAAGAATCTGAAGAAAACAAGGTGGTCTGGTCATCTTTTCCATGACTGTGTATGTGCCTGTTGTCACATATATGTTTGGTTAATTTCTGCTTAAGATCCATTTTTGGCTGAAGTTGTTTCCTTTCAGCTTTCTGTGTCTTCAGAGTGCTCTTCTTCGTCGTGTGCATTCATGCTGTCTGTGGTACAGTGTCATCAGACATGCTCCCTCTTTATTGTCCGTGCAGAGAGATGAGGAACCAGATGTGGTGCTGGTGAAGGTGGAGGAGGTGGAGCCGGTGACGGGCCCCCTGACAGGCCTCAGCATCCAGGAGGGTAAGCAGCACATCCCGTACAGGTGGTGATTAGCCCGCTGGATCTTGCAGAACACAGAACCCAACAATCCAGAGCTGCCTTTGGATTCCCTATGAGCAAGTAGCCAGTGGGAATAGGAAGGAACCAGAAAATAAAAAAAACATTTAACAGGGAGGAGAAAAAACTAAACTTTAGACAGAACCAGGCTCCGGCAGGGGAGCCTGGACCGGCCCAGTTGGGGTGAGAATGGGTCCACGTAAGATCCTCTGATGTCGGCTCTGGTTGTGCCTTCTGTTTATTTCTTATTTAAAAAGGACAGCGTACGCTAATGAACACATGTAAAAGTACATATTGTAAACGCACCAGAGTTAGCATAACTGCTAGTTTGCATCTGTTGTCCCTTTGTGGGTCATAGACTAAAAAAATGAACTCACAAGGCTTTAAAATACACAAATACGATCAATCAGTCAGACAAAGTGCATGATGATAAGTAGAGCTGAAGTTAAGGTGCTCAAAGCATTTATTAAAGCCAGTATATGAGTTATTTGGAGAAGTACACAGCTTCAGTCACTGAAATAAGTTGGAATGAACAAAAGTAATAATAAATAAAATGTGATGAACATCATGACGTTGCTTTGAATTGTGCTTCAACAGAAATATTAAATCAAACCATCCTGATGGGAGCCGTGAACTAACATGTAGCTGAACAACCCTCTGAGCCAATCACTGCCATCAGGTGTT